AGAGCCTGGAATCACTGCCTGTGCCTGCTGGGAACGTGGGATTGCACAGATAACTGGGAATGGGTTGGGATCTCCCGGGTTTACTGGGGCGTTTCTCTCTCGCAGGGCGTGAGCCACCGGCTGAGGGGCAGCCTGACCGCCGTCAGGACCAGGGCGCCGCAGCTCGGGGGTAATTAGTGAAGGGGTTAATTGGCAGTGCACTGAAATACCTGAGTTCGGGAATTGGAGTTAGTAAATTAAATTAATGAATGAGTTAATTGACATTGCATTGAAATTCCTGAGTTCGGGAATTGGAGTTAGTAAATTAAATTAATGAATGAGTTAATTGACATTGCATTGAAATTCCTGAGTTCAGGAATTGGAGTTAGTAAATTAAATTAATGAATGAGTTAATTGACATTGCATTGAAATTCCTGAGTTCGGGAATTGGAGTTAGTAAATTAAATTTATCTAATGAGTTAATGTAAATTGCATTTAAATAACCAAGCCTGGAAATTTGATTTATTACATTAAATTAATTTAATTCATCATTAATTAACATAATTAATTAGTAATTATTATTTAATAATATTTAGTAGCTAATATTACTATTTAATATAATTCATTTAATTAATTCCCTAGTTTCCCAGGGAATTAAATTAATTTAATGAATTGATTTAAATATTTAAATAACCAAGTTTGGGAATTTTATTTATTTAATTATTTTTTATTTAATTAAATTACTTAATTTATTTAATTAATTTATGTGATTTGTTATTAATTAATATATAATCAATAAATAATACTTAATAGTTAATAGCAGTTGATAAATAAATAATATGATTAATTTAATTATTTCCCTGGTTTCCCAGGGAATTAAATTAATTTAATGAAGTGATTTAAATTTCATTTAAATAACCAAGTTTGGGAATTTAATTTCTTAAGTTAAATTAATTTAATGTATTTCTTTAATTCATTATCAATTAATATATAAATAACAAATAATTAATGCTTAATAATATTTAATAGTTATTAAAAATTAATAATCGATTAATAGATAATAGAATTAATTTAATTCACTCCCTAGTTTCCCAGAGAATTAATTTAATGAATTGATATAAATTTCATTTAAATTTCTGAGGCTGGGAATTTAATTCATTAAACAAAATTAATTTAATGAGTTGATTTAAATTTCATTTAAATACCCAAGTTTGGGAATTTAATTTATTAAATTAATTAAATTAATTATTTTAACGAGTTAATTTAAATTACATTTAAATTCCCAAGTTTAGGAATTTAATTTATTCAATACATTAAATTAATTAATTTAATGAATTAATTTAAATTTCATTTAAGTTCCCAGGTTAATTATGCGTGGGGAGCAATCCCTGGAATGACAGGGTGGGAATTTCCCCTTTTCCAGTGATTTTAGCTGCTCTGGGTGGGTTGGGGGCTGCATTCCCTGGTTTATGGAAGAAACATTCCTTGGTTTCCAAGGAGGCATTCCCTGGTTTCCAGGGTGCCATGCCCAGGTTTCCCCCCCCAATCCTGGCTGTTTGCACAGGGAGCTTTGCCGTGTGGGGAGGGCTCTTCTCCATGATCGACTGCAGCATGGTCCGGATGAGGGGCAAGGAGGATCCCTGGAATTCCATCACCAGCGGAGCCCTGACCGGAGCCATTTTGGCCGCACGGAGTAAGAAACTGGGAAAATCCCTCAAAACCCCCAAACATCCCAGTTCCCGTGGCAGGGTGTGGGACACCCTCACTGGGATCTGCTGCCCACTGGAAAATCACCCGAGACTTCCCTACTGGGCTCAGGAAAGGAATTCCTGGTTTCCCAAAGGTTCCTGGTGTTCCTGGGAGGGGGGAGTTGCCCAGGAATTATCCCTTAATGAATCCCTGAATTGATGGGAAGTCACTGCTCTGAGTCTGCTTTTGGGAGAGATCCAAATGCACAGAGAGGGAGGGAAGGGGCTGGGATGGAATTCCCAGAGAAGCTGTGGCTGCCCCATCCCTGGAAGTGCCCGAGGCCAGGCTGGAGCAGCCTGGGATGGTGGGAGGTGTCCCTGCCCAGGGCAGGGGTGGGACTGGATGGGATTTAAGGTCCCTTCCTGCCCAAAGCAGGATTTTGGGTATGTCTAACATGGAACCACTGCAGCCAAAAGTCCAAGGTGTGTTTGTGCTTCCCATTCCAGATGGGCCCGTGGCCATGGTGGGATCCGCTGCCATGGGAGGGATTCTCCTGGCGCTCATCGAGGGAGCGGGAATTCTACTGACGAGATTTGCCTCTACCCAGTTCCCCAACGGTGAGGAACCGGCATGGGGGGATCCCAGAGATCGGCCTCTTCCAGCCAGCACTCGTATCCCAGAGGGAATCTGGGAGTTCCTGGGGCTCTGGAAAGCCAGGGAGACCCCTGAGATATCATCGGCTCCTTCTGGGTTGCTCCAAGCCCCGTCCAACCTGATCCAGGGGACTTCCAGGGAAGGGGGAGCCACAGCTTCTCTGGGAATTCCATCCCAGCCTCTCCCCACCTTCCCAGCCAGGAATTCCTTCCCAATATCCCATCCAACCCTCTGGCAGAGGGAAGCCATTCCCTGTGTCCTGTCCCTCCATCCCATGTCCCCAGTCCCTCTCCAGCTCTCCTGGAACCCCTTTAGGCCCTGGAAGGGGCTCCGAGGTCTCCCTGGAGCCTTCTCTTCTGCAGGGGAACATTCCCAGCTCTCCCAGCCTGGCTCCAGAACACATTTTGGCAGCCCAGGGAAGGGTTTGGAAGGCCAGAGCAGGTCCTGGCAGCCCAGGGAAGGTCCTGGCAGTACAGGTGTGGGAACTCCGGGTGCAGGAGCTGATAAGGTCCTGGCAGACCCAGATAACCCATTTCCAGGAAGGCTGAGGGGTTTTCCTTTCCCTGAACTTCAAAACCCACATTCCTTTTTTTTTTCCCCAAGTAAAACAGGAGCTGGGATGTCAGTTGGGTTGGTGACTGTGGGAATGCCTGGCTGTGGAAAATCCTAAATATCTCTGTCAGAGAATCTCAGGATGGTTTGGGTTGGAGGGACCTTCAATCCCATCCAGTCCCACCCCTGCCCCGGGCAGGGACACCTCCCACTATCCCAGGCTGCTCCCAGGCTTCCCAGCAGGGAGAGGGAACCCTTTCTAGACCCCGTCAGTGCCCTGGAGGTGCCTTCAACCCCTCTGAGAAGGTTTAACCCCAGGGATAAAGGAACCACTGGAATGGAACAACTGTGGATTCAGCTTCCCAACCCACTGCTGGGGGGAGCAACTGCCAGAGGGTTAGATGGGATTTTGGGAAGGAATTCCTCCCTGTAAGGGTGGGGAGGGGCTGAGATAGAATTCCCAAAAAAGCTGTGGCTGCCCCATCCCTGGGAGTGTCCAGGGCCAGGTTGGAGCAGTCTGGGATGGTGGGCGGTGTCCCTGCCCAGGGCAGGGGTGGGACTGGATGGGATTTGAGGTCCCTTCCCACCCAAACCATTCCAGGATTCTGTGAAACCTCTGACAGTCTTTGTGAAACCCAAACCAGGCTGGGATTGGGGATTAATTTCCAGGGGATTTTGTCTGAACCAACCCACTGTTTGCAGGAGGAATCTCCTGCCTTTTGGGATTGATTTGCTTCTCCTCTCCCTCTCCAGGCCCGCAGTTGTCCGAGGATCCCTCCCAGCTCCAGCCTCCCCCGTTCAGCAACTATCAACAGTACCAGTGAGGGGCCTGGGAGCCCTGGGATGGGATGGGATGTCCCTGCTGGAGCTCTGGGATGGGATGTCCCTCCCCTCCCCCCTCCCAGGAACACCTGCAGCACTTCCCAGAGCTCAGGAGAACTTTTAGGAGATGACAAATCTATTTATTCCCAATAATTCCCATCTGTAATGTTACACGTGGGCTGGAATTACAAGGAGGTTTGAGACAAGGAGCACACGGAGTCTTGTCATCCTTGGGACACTGGAGTGAAAATCTTGGAGTCTCCTCTGGGATGTGGCACCTGCAGCTGGAATTTCAGCCTGGATTTGGGGGGTGGGGCTGGAGGGGGAAGTGTTGCACCTTCATTCCTGCTGCCAGCACAGCCTCAGCTTCCACTGGGATCCCAATTCCAGCATCTGCTCCTGGCTTTGTCCTAACTCCTGCCGGCGAGGCCCTTCCCTGCTCCAGCAGTTACAGTCCCTGCCCCATCCAGGTTTGCCAGGGCAATTCCTGGCCTGGGTCAGTCCCTGCTGATCCTTGTCAGGGGCTGATCCAACATCCTGAAAGCCTCGAGGAACATCAGAGTGACTTTGTGGCTTCTCCTCTGCCCAGGGAGGAGCAAACGGAGCCAGAGCTGAGAATGGGAAAACTGAGAGTGGTGTTGGACCCTGGGAACGTTGGCAGAGGGTCGGACAAAGTGTGTGAGATCCTGCTCATCCTGTGTCCTCCAGAGGGACACTACCCTCACTCCTGCCTGTCCCACAGCCAGCCCAGGACTCCAGGGCTTGGCTCTCATCCCTTGGAGCTGGGACAAGGCTGCAGGATCAGCTGGGCCGAGCCTGAGTGGGACAGGGGGTGCAGGATCAGCTGGGCTCAGCCTGGGTAGGACAGGGATGCAGGATTAGTCAGGCTCAGCCCAGGTGGCACAGGGCCAGGGGCACAGTGGCCGTGGTGGCCCTGCCCACACTTGTCCCTCAGCCCTGCCACAAGCAGTGGCCTTCAGCTGCCTGAGCTGGGCTTTACTGAGCTGGGCTCTGCCCCTCAGTGGTCCCTGAGCCCCACTCAGGGCCCTGCCTGGGCTGTGCCCCCTCCTGCCCCTGATCCCAGAAGGAATTTCCCCCCCCAAGGCTGCCCCAGCCAGGGGGAGTTTTCCCGCCCCATCCCCACCACAACCCCCCAGAATTCCCAGTTAATCCCAGTTTATTGTCTCAGTCCAGACCCCCCTGCCCCACTCTGAGGGTGCTGGAGCCCCCCACACCCTCTGAGCAGTTGCTTCTGTCCCTCCCCAGGGGGTGGCACAGAAAGGGTGACACAGTGACGACGGGCCCGGGTGACACTGAAACAGTGACCTTTTATTGTCTCTACAGCAGCTCTGATTCCCAGACCAGCCCCCCCTGCCCCTCCTGGCCGAGGGGCTGCCTTTAAAGCTCAGTTTAAATATTAAATACCCTCCTTTCTCTTTACATGGTCAAGGAAAAACCAAACCGAAAAAAAGGACAATTAAAATATTTTAAATTACACGCTCTGTGCCCCGGGAGCTGCCCTGGGAGCCGCAGAATTCCCGGGGGGATATGTGGGGTCGGTGAGAGGCGGGATGTGCTTGGCTGGGCAGGAACAGCAGCTGCTCCCTGTGCTGGGGGAGCCCCAGTGCAGCTAAACCCGGCCTGGGGGAGCCCCCAACCTCCCCCAGACCCCACTGGGGGGAGGGGGTGAAGATTTGGTCGACGACTTTCCTAAAGGATTTCTCCGTTTCTTTAAAAAAAAACAAACCCAAAGAACAACAAAAAAACCCCACCAGCAACCCCCAAACCCAGTTTTTGAGTCTTCCTTGGATCTGAGCAAAGACAAAAAGAGTTTAAAAAGCACTTGAGGAAAGCTTGGACTAAAAGCAGGCGGTGCCCTCAGAGCAGGGAGTCGTCCGTGCACCCCCCTTCCAGCCCGTAGCGGAATTCCTGCAGGTTGGACACCCCGTAGAAGTGGACAAAGGCTGCGGCCACCACCAGCACGTGGAAGATCTGATGGGACTGGAACTGGGGGGGGGAAGCCCTTTAGAGCAGAGCAAATCCCCCGTTTCCAACCCAAATTTAACCCACTTTCCACCAATTTCACCATTTTCTTCTCCAAATTCCCTGATTTTCCTCCAATTTCCTCTGTTTTCCCCCGATTTTTGCCTGACTTCCCCGACACAGGGATAGGGGACACAGGAACTGTGGTGGCACAGGGGGCACAGGGCCTGTGCTGGTACAGGGACAGGGGGCACCAGGAGCTGCTCCTCGCTGCCCCAGGACTGTTCCATCCCACTCTCCCAGCGCCATCCCCACCCCTCCCGAACCCCCAGTGCCCCCCTCAATGTCCCCCTCCCGGCCCAGCTCTGCCCCCTGTGCCCCCCAGCCCCCCCCGTACCCCCCCAGCCCCTGACTCACCCAGATGTCGAACTTGCCCGGGAAGAAGCGCTCGGGCACGCGGGCGGCGTAGAGGGCGGCGCCCGTGATGTACATGACAGCCATGAGGAAGAACCAGCCCATCTGCCCCACCGTGGTGGCCTTCACGAAGCCCTCGGCGATGGTGAAGTGCAGGGTGGGCACCACCCCGCTCAGCCCCAGCCCCAGGAACACCCCTGGGTGCCCAGGGCGGCATCAGGGCACGGCCCCGGCACCCCCAGCCCCTGTCCTGTGCCAGGGAACCTCCTCCCAGGGGAGATCCCTCTCCTCCAGAGTCCTGGAATGGCCCAGCTGGGAGGGACCCCTGAGGGCCAAGGGCAGCTCCAGCCCCAACAACCCCCCCTGTCCCTGAGAGTGTTGGCCAAGCGCTCCTTGGACCTCTCCAGACACTCTCTGAACTCCTCCAAACTCTCCTCCAACTTCCCCAAACATTCTCTGAACTTCTCCAAACGCTCCTCAAACTTCTCCAAATGCTCCTTGGACTCCTCCAAACACTCTCTGAACTTCTCCAAACTCTCCTCCAACTTCCCCAAACATTCTTTGAACTTCTCCAAACGTTCCTCAAACTTTTCCAAACTCTCCTTGAGCTTCTCCAAACACTCCTTTGAATTTGGCCAAACACTCCTTGACTTTATTCAAGGATGAAGTGCAGCTCCAGACCCTGCACAGGACCAGACCCAACAACACCCCCCCTTCATCCCTGAGAGCATTGGCCAAACGCTCCTTGGCCTTGGTCAGATGTTCCTCAAACTTCTCCAGACATTCCCTGGACTTCTCCAAACTCTCCCTGAACTTCTCCAAACGCTCCCTGACCTTGGCCACTCCTTCTGGCACTGATCCTTCCCCAAACAGGGATCTAGAACTCCCCAATCCCTCCATCTTCCCCCCAGTTTTCCCCCAAATTTCCCCAATTTCTCCCTAATTTCCTCCACTTTCCCCCCAATTTCCCCCATAATTCCCCCAATCCCTCCATCTTTCCCCCAATTTCCCCCCAAGTTTCCTCAATTTCTCCCTGATTTCCTCCATATTCCCCCCAAAATTTCCCCGATTTCCCCCAATCCCTCCATCTTTCCCCTATTTCCCCCCGATTCCCCCATTCCCATTCCCCACTCCCCCACACCCCATTCCCATTCCCCATTCCCATTCCCACTCCCCACACTCCATTCCCATTTCCCATTCCCATTCCCCATTTCCCCATTCCCATTCCCCATTCCCACCCCCATTCCCACCTGCCCGTGTCTGCCGGTGCTTGGGAGTGGCGAATCGGTCCCACTGGGCCACAATGATGGCGGAGATTCCCAGGACACAGACGATGGAGAGGTAGATGAGCCTCGGCTGGGGGGAGCAGTAGAAGGAGTAGTAGAGCCAGGGCACGAAGCTGCCCATGATCAGCAGCGCGATTCCCGAGTAATCCAACCTGGAACAGCACAGGGAACTCCCCTGGAGCCACCAGCACTGGGAGGGGGGGAATGGGGGGTGGGGTCCCACTGGGATGGGGGGCCTGGGAATGACAGGAGGGACGGGAAGGGATCTGGAGACTCCAACCCCCCGGATTTATGCCCATGGATTTCTGCTCCTGCTCTGAGGACCCATCCCGGCGCTGAGACGTGTCCCCAGGGAACACCAGGACACTCCAACGGGTCTGCCCTGCATCCCGCGGGATCTCAGGGGGTGGTGCCGAGGGATGGGCAGCATTCCCAGCACAGCAGCACCCCGGGAATGCCAGGAACAGCCTGGGAGGAGCAGGGTCCCACTGAGCCTGTGCCCCTGGGATTAGAGAGCCTGTTCCTTGGGATTAGAGGCTGTTCCTTGGGATTACAGAGCCTGTTCCCTTGGGAGTACAGGATTCTATTCCCTTGGGAGCCAGAATCCTGTTCCCTTGGGAACCATGTTCCCTGGGAACAATGTTCCTATTCCCTTGGGAACCAGGGAATAGGTTCCTATTCTCCTATTCCTATTCTCCTATTCTCTTGGGAGCAGAGGATGTTCCCATGGGAGCTGAAGGGTCCCATACCTTTCCCACCCCCCTGAGGCCCTCGATCCAGCAGATTCTGGGTGTTCAGGCCCAGGGCAGATTCCCAGGACCCAGCTGTGCTTCCCCTCAGCTCCAGCTGGATTGGGTGACCACCCCTGCTCCCAAGGCTCAAACATTGGGAAGAGGAGGTGCTGTGGGAAGCCAGAGGCTCCCGGAGGCCGCACTCACTTGGAGAAGGTGCGGGAGACCTTCTCGGAGTGGCAGTAGACGGTGTGGAAGAGCCAGGAGAAGCTGAGGCAAAGCACGGCCCCCAGGAAGAACATCCCAAACACGACCTTCTCCTGCAGCGGCGCCATGAAGTACATGTTGGGCCGCAGCATGGTCAGGATTCCCAGGCACAGGAACAGCAGGAACCCTGTGGAGCGCCCAGGAATTCAGCACAGCCGCCGGGAATGGCCCGAGATGGATCCCAGGGGAGCTAGGGATCCATCCCGAGGGCCGGGCCCGGCACAGGCTCCTGGGCTGGGGCAGCGCCAGGCCCAGGGCAAAGAGCATCCCTGTGTTCCATGGGATCCTGGAATGCCACACTGCTGCAGGCTGGAGGACCTCAAAGCCCATCCCATCCCACCCCTGCCCTGGGCAGGGACACCTCCCACCATCCCACGCTGTTCCAACCTGCCCTTGGACACTTCCAGGGATGAGGCATCCTCTAGGAATTCCATCCCAGCCCCTCCCCACCCTCCCAGCCAGGAATTCCTTCCCAATATCCCATCCATCCCTCCCTCTGGCAGTGTGAAGCCATTCCCTGTGTCCTGTCCTTCCATCCCTTGTCCCCAGTCCCTCTCCAGCTCTCCTAGAGCCCATTTAGGCCCTGGAAGGGGCTCCAAGGTCTCCCTGGAGCCTTCTCTTCTGCAGGGGAACATTCCCAGCTCTCCCAGCCTGGCTCCAGAACAGAGGGGCTCCAAAATCCTGGAATGTCAGGATGGTTTGCATTGGAGGGACCTTAAAGCTGAACCTCCAGCTCTCCCAGCCTGGCTCCACAGCAAAGGCTCTCCAGCTTTGGAGCATCTCCGTGGCCTCCTCTGGAGCGATTTCAGAGGAACATCCTCTGAGATTTCCCCATTTTTCCCAGTTTTCCTCATCCCACCGCGGAGCAGGAGCCGAGCCTCAGCTGGGGGGGGCTGTGGGAGCTCCTTGTGGGCTCAGGACCCTCCAGGCCCCTGCCAGGCCCCCTCAGGCCCCCCCCAGGACCCCTCAGGCCCCCCAGTCACCCAGCAGGTGTGTCCAGATGTTGCCCGTCTCGGTGTGGATGCGGAAGATGCTGCGGAAGCAGGCGCGAAAGGAGGGCATGGGGGGCCGGTGGCCGTGCAGGAGGTAATCGTTGTCCTTGAGCCAGTCGGGCAGCACGTCATAGGGGATCACCCGCCAGCGCCCCTCCCACACCTGCAACATCC